GAGTTCCTTATGACAGTTTAAGTGTCAGGACAAATTAGGAACAAAGCCTAGTGGTTCGGTTAATAAGATCTTTTTATGGCGTGTTTTCTCGGTAAGTACCACCATATAAAGACCGGCTGAAAATGGAGCAGAGAGAAAGAAGGTTTAAGAGAATAATCAAGAAAATAAAGATCATTTGGTCGACTGTCGCTCAGCTACACATGGTAGAGAAAGCTTCTGTTAGCCAAACCTAAAAGAGTCTCAGTCTCTGTCAGTGTTTTGTTAGATGTGTGTTTCATGGCAGGACACAGAGATTGAGTGGTTTTACATGCCGGTGCTTTGTTTTATGTAGAGAAAAGTAAGAGCACCAGCAGCTCCTTTGAAGCCCATTCAAATTTATTGTTGTTTTCCAGGGGGAGGCGTTTTTTACATTACAGCTCATTGTGACTGGATCTGCTCTCATGCTGTTTTTGGACAGGCTTCATAGTTTATATCTGGAAACCAATAAATTATTGCAGAACAATTATGGCAGTGAGCGAGTGTCTTTTCCCAGTTTGTAAAGGTGAAAGGTCCTCCTCTGTTGCCAGCTTCCCTTTTTGAGTGTCTATGTTTGTCCAAAAGTCTCATCAGGAGGACAGAGCAGTGTGATCTAAAGACATATTTCAGAGCCCATTGTCCCTGGCAGTAGCTGTACGTCACTCAAGCTTCACTGCTGTTCCCCCAGGCCGGCATGTTTCCAGCTGCTTTATTTTACTCCCAGTCTGACGTCAAAGTCAGACCTGGTAAATCACCTCTCATCGTAACTGTTTGTTTCTTATGTCTAAAAATAAAGAGTCAGTTGCTTTTTCCATTTGTCTCTGCTCTTTATCAGACAAAAGTCCTGCTGTGTCTCCTGCTGACCCTGGATTTTACCTTTGTTGCAGCATTTCACAGCATAGAACAGGTGCAGCCACACAACTTGATGGTGAGCTGAAGCTGAAGGTTTTTAGGGCTGGCACATTAGGATCATCTGTCACTTTATTTAAGCAAATAAAAAACTGCAACTTTTTTACATTCACATTCTATACCCTCTGTTGGCTTTTCCACTTTAAAAGAATGTGTACAGATTTTTTTTGCATTTAAAAGAATGCAAATATGAGGCCTGGTAACTAATGACCCATGACCTGGTACTAGTCCATGGCCCAGTACTTGGAGACCTCTGATCCAAGGTATATAAAGTAGTCATTAAGACAAAAGACGTGGTATTTAAATACCTTCTGTCAGGAAAACATGATAGTAAATAGTAACTTTTAAATGTCGCCTGACGGTGGAAAAATACATTTAAAAACATAATTGTCTTTGTTCAGAGCATATCCTTTACAGTGTATCACAGATTTGGACTAAATGCAAGTGTTATTTACATTCAGGTATCAGAGTGTGTAGAAATCTCTTCTTCTTTGAACTGGTATCACCAAGAATTACCACTAAGGTTTCCAAAACACGGCCCACAGGAAGTTGTTAAGACTGAGAACGACACTGGGTCCCTACCTTTGACCTCTTTAACCTGACCTTTCCTACAGTCTGACATGAGTCCTTGTCCACATGAAAGCAGTTCTTTTGACTCACTGGTGCTAATTTAGAGTTCCGGTGCCCCTGACCACAGTGAGGACAGACAGTCACCATACGGGCTCCTGGACCAACAGACATAAGTACAGACAGCATGTCTGCAGTAATACAAGACACTGGGTTTGTACGCTGGGAATATGGTCGAATAACCGATAACTTTAGTACAGAAGTCAGAAGTAGATAAAAAAAACGGCTTGGCATTGACTTTACCTGAAGGTTAAATATAAAAGTGTCAAAATTTGTTACAGAAGCTAAGAGTTTTACAAAAGGTTTTACAACAAAACAAATGGTTGAAAGTATTAAAAAACAATCAGGAAACTAGCAGGTTAGCTTGATCATAGCTTAATGCAAATGTGACACGGTTGTGTATTAGCAATGCTATGCTAGGCTAGCTGACTGTCTTCTTTGGGCTTTAAAAGCACAACTCTTAAGCATTACATTACTACCACCTACTGGGTATACAAATGAAGCAGCGGTAGGATAGAAATCTCACTGAAGTTTACAGAACCAGATGCTTTGGTTTATTATGAAGTAGCTTCATTTGCGATTACATTTTGACATCACTGCATGTGGGTAAATTTAGGAGTAAAAATGACCTGCTGACCTTTACTTCCCTGTTCTTCAGGTACAAGTCAGACTTATTCTAAAGCCTGACCGGCTTCTTTATTTTTAGATGATCCCAAAATTAATTGTTTGGTAAGTGTAAGTGTTGTTATGTAAGGGGATTACACTGTTGTTTCTGCCCATGCCCTTAACTGTGCAGGCCACTACACAGAGGAGAGAGGGAGGGAGGAGGAAACAGAGGGTAGGGGTGACTTGAGGTGGAAGAGCAAGGTAATGTAGTTAAGGTAGTGGTACAAAGTTCCAGAAATAACTCAGCTGTGGGCCCTAATTGTACATCTCTGTTGCTCCTTTTTCCCTTTCTTCAGCCACATGCCAAGGTCTTTGACCTTATCATCCACCTCACTGATTCCGGAAGAATCCTTTCCGCCCCCTGCAGCTACCAAAGCTCCAAACGATACACAGAGCACAGCAGCAGACCATCTCCAGCCTCATACCAACAGCCAAGCGCCACAACCAGTTAGATCTGATCCCAACAGAGCGCCAGAGTGGCTCAAACTGCCAGGTATGTTCTAATCATCCCCGGCATGGGCCCCGTGGCTCTTTAACAAAGCTTTGCCCCAGAAGGCTCCTCAGCAAAGGCCGAGGGCCTTGAGAAAACATGTATTTCACTGCTTTGTATACACTCCTCTGAGAAGTTGCATTCTCTCCACACATGCAAGCTTTCTGTCTGTGTCTTGTTTGTTTGTTTTCTTTTGACTGGACTGTAAATGTTTGTAACCTTTCATGAGTGTAAGCAGTTGCGTGTGGAGCATCTAAGAGGAATGAACTCGTTCCGCGTCGCCTTCAGCATTCCTCTATGGTTAGACAGCTCCGTGCCCACAAGGGGGCTACAAGGGCCTCTTGTCTCCTGAGCGCTAATGCATCACAGCCCCAGATCAAGCACAACATGCATGCGAGCACATACGTCCGAGAACAGATGCACGCCATCACATATTCATGAAACAAGTACATTTGTGTAACGGCACATGCTGCAGGACGGCCGACACCTGTAGCTTTCTCACCGCATGTTGGTTATTGTTTTCAACAGGGAACCAGAAAGGTGTTACAGTAAAATGTTTTATTTCCACATTCCTGGTTAAAAAAGTGAAAGTTTTATGTGCCATATAGGCTAATAAACTTTAATGTTGCTCTTTGGTTTTGTACTTTCTGCTTGGGTGAGAATTCTTAGAAAAAGCCAGCAGTCAGGAGGGAGATTGGGGCTGTTCCCATCAGTGGGCACAGATGGGTGAGAAGGTTTAGTGATAACCAAATGACAGGAAAAAGGATGACCTACATCATCTGACAGATTAGGGATTGAAGAAATATGATTTTTTGGCTGGTGGAACACATAGCATCTTTTACAGGACCAAATGCTGTATCTAGCATTTGGCCAACTTGTCAATATGTCGTAGGAGATTTTAATTATTTCTACCTATGTAATCCTCTTCTAGTTTTAAGGTAGAGCAAAACCCAATCAACAGACATCATGCAGGTTAGATTACAGTGGACAATTAACCTAATTTGTGTGTTTCTGGACTGTGGGAGAATGCCATACTAGCCCGAGAAAAACCACACACAAACAGAGAGAGCATACAGGTTTTCTTTACAGTAAGACAGGGAATTGAACTGGTGATCTTCTTGTGGTAAGGTGTGCTTGTCATTCCTTCCACAAGTGTTCCAACCTGAATTTTAGTAATATCAAGATTATTTTGCAAATAATCTATAATTTATGGCATCCTCACTTCAACATTAGCTTAGCAAATACTGAGTGGGCATTTCCCCCTTAATTTTGTCTTATTTGTAACCTCAGGGTGTAGAAGAGAAAACTTTGTACAGAAATATAACAATAATAAAGTATGTTATTAATACCAGTCTTTTTATTAGACTTGAAGTGACTTGTATTACCAGAGAAATAAAATAGTCAACATTGTTAATTTTTATCAAACTAGTCTTTCTATATATTCATTCTTCTTTTACATCTCAACCCTTTTCTGTTATACAGATCAGTCTCACTCAGTCAAGTGGAAAATTTGACCCAACAAATCATAATAGCACTCAATGTTGCCACTACAAAGATATATTTCAAATATTAGTGGCTACAACCAAGCAGCTTTCTATGGTCAAGGCTAACGAGATCCCTATTCCATGTGCATTTCCATTCATACACCAATCAGGAGACTGGAGACAGAACCGTCTCTGTCTCCTGGGAAAAGCGTCTCACTCCGTAGCTTCTCCAAAGTGTCTGGACTGGCTGTCGACACTCCCAGCCTTTAATGTAGGATCAAGAAAAGCTTTAACTCATTACTCTCGTCAACGCCCCTCCCCATTCTTGTTCTAACTGCTTTCGTATGTTTAATAACACTGCCTTCAGATGTAATTTGTTCCACTAAGATGCACACAGAGAAAGTTGTACAGTAGTGCTCTCCTCTGCAAGTGCAGATCCAGACCTACCAACACATTGTTGTGGGAAAAAAAACGAACCAGGACCAAAGTCTAGGAATGTTATTTTTATAAAATAGAGAAATTACAAAAAAAAAAACAACAACATTGAGAGCAATTTGATAGGTAACCAGAGCCAATTACACCCCTGATCTTGTACATAATTTCTGATGCTGCTTTCGAGATTTCCTTTTCAAGTCTGGACCCCTGACACTGGGCCTTGGATGGGTTTGACTGAACGTAGCAGCATTCAGTGTGAGTGCAGTGACTCACCCCAAGAGCCACACAAATAAACAGTGTGAGGTGTTGCACAGCTATGCTGACTCACGCCGAAGACACGCAGTCACACAGACCGCTGCTGGAAACCCATCAGAGGCCCATGAATTAGAAAACCCCATATTACCCTCTTCCTCTCGGCCCCAACATCCCCCTCTGCTCTGATGAAAGGAGAGAAAGCACCTCTGCTACTCGCCTCCTTTGTTTATTTACCTTCAGAATTACACCCTGCTCTTCTTGGACCATGTTCCGATGTGTTTTGTTATGTTTCCTTTCAAACAGAATCTCCACGCGTGTGGTCTGGTACTATGTTTAGCTAGCACATGCACAAATCTGAGCATGCACACTCCTATTCAACTTTCCCCCCTGTGCCAAAGGTCCCCTCTACCCTCCCCCTCACCCCTACCTAAACATCGCAGGACAGCAAAAGAGAACTTCAAAGTGGCTGGAGGGGGTACTCCTTTTTTCCTGGCACTTGTCATCATCTAAGGGACTGGCTGCTTCCCTTATTACTCTAATTGCTTCCAACTGCTCCAGGAGGCTTTGATGAAGGGCACCATGGAGCATGCTGGAAGCACCTGTTGTTGCACAGAGGAGCACAGGTGGGTCTGATTGACTGAGGCATGGAGGAAAAGTGGAAAGCAATGACGTTGTCCTCTTAAAAAATCACTTAACTTAAACTATTTATCAATTAGCATTACGTTGTAATCTCTTAAATCAGAGATTATGAAATTATGTACAGGAAAAAAAAATAACTTGGAATAAGTGTGTGGCTGGTGGAAGTGAAGCTGCGGGGCTGCTGGCAACGCTTTGGCTCCATCTTGTGGCATTGTTTCGCTAAAAGTCCAGCAGCTGCAAGACGAGAAAGAAATATTTAGAAAAACAAGAATTTATTCAAAGCACTTCCATATTTATATACAGTTAACAGTTATCAGGCAAACAAACCGACTTTGTTTTTTTTTTTTAGGTAACAAGAATTTGGAAAATCTAAGAATTCCATCTGTTGGTCAACAACCAAAACAGTTTCATAAAATAAAACCAGAATATTAGGTTTACTTTCATGGAAGAAAATTATAAAAAAATAATTTGATTCAAAATACTTAAGTGGTCAGTTAGCTGCAACTCATCATTAAAGCCTGATGTTTTCAATTAGCTGAAGTTTAAAGAACGATGTTTACACCAAAGAGCCTACAGCTAAAAAAAAAAAAAAAAGTTTGATAAGCTTCCTACCAACTGCGGTAAGATCTTTTCAAAATGCTCAATCTCCACTTGATCACAGTTTTCGGACTCTGCTTGTTTCTGTGACCTCACAGCAGCTTCTGAAGGTGACAATGACAATACAGAGGCACAAATGAGAAAAAAGGTCTTTGTCAGTGTGTATGTACAGTATTTGTGACTGTTCCTCTTACCCCGAACAAACACTTTAAGCATTTCTGCCATTAGCAGTGTAGCATCACCACTAACTGTAACACAAAAGAGCTTGGTTAAATTATATCAGATTAAACCAATCCAACACGAGGATTTTTGTAATATTGCTGCAACAAATAACGGCGGTATAATAGACGTACATTGAACGTTACATGAAAAACTACATAAAACGTAAAACAATGTAAAAATAAAGCTTGCACACCAAATTTAAACCCTAAAATAAGTAATGAGTGATTTTCTAAACAACTCACGTTTGGTTTTCTCTTCTCTAAAGGAACGTGACAAAACTTTTCCAACTGTTTCCTGTGGAAAGAAGACAGTAAACCGCCGACCATATTAATTGGTATTTTAAAAGAAAAACAATAAAATAGGCATTTACCTCCACACGCAACATATTCGGAAACCATTCCAATGAATTTCAACTCAAGCTGTGTCACATATTGTATTTACAGCACACCGACATCTTTGGAAACGTATTTTATTGAATATTAAAGGAGTTTACATAAACAGAAAGATATTCTACCGCAAAAGTCAAGTACATACAGAAGTAGTTTTTCATACAGAAGTCAAACACGTTTCGTAGACACGTCGTAATTCGTTAAATAACTCCTACATGTTTGACAACTAACGGTGGGTTTTAGCAGTGTTGCTCTTTTGTCCACCGTAGAAGAAACACATTCTCAATGTAGCAAAACCCATCGTATAAAAATATTGAAATATAATGGCATTTTAACCGTGGAGTCTCTTGCAACGACAATTAACAAGAAATTAAAAATATTTAGATAAAAACCAAGCCTTACCTTCTTGAAAAGGACTTCCGCGTCCTGATCCGCCATGTTTGTTGTGGTACTCCAAAGATTGGCGCGTTGTGAAGTGATTGGGCAGTAGGCTTCGTGACGTCTCAATGACGCATCATGCTGTAAACGTTTTAAAGCGCTACTTTTTACCGTAAATTTTAATCACACTTTGAAATGCAAATTATTCAGATTAAATTAAGTAATTTGTGACCATTTCTAAAACTGACCTTTTTCATCGAAGCTGGTGAGAATGTGTCCCAGTGTAAATTTAATAAATAAAGCTTAGTTCAGTGGTCATACTAACAATTAATACTTTCAGATCAGACTATGCCAGGGGTCGGTGTGTATATATATATATATATATACACACACACATATGCACATATATACATATACATACATACACACATATATACATGTATGTATGCATGTATGTGTATATATAGTATATGGAAAATAATAGCCAATAAAATGTTTGTTTTTTCTGGTTAATTTGTTTTTTGCTCCTGAACCTCAGCGCAGAGCGTCTGCGCATCAGGGCTGTAAGACGTCACCTTCATCTTCACTATAAGCTGACATCTGTGAGGCGTGAGCGTCAGGGTGAGCCATCGACATGACAGGAAGCAGGCAGGACCCAAATGCAGGACTGGTGCAGGTATTTTATTTCAAAGATCAAAATTCCAAAAACCAGGACAGAAGCATACGCAGAGCCGAGCAGAGCAGAGCTGAGCTGAGTACAGCAACAGACTTGACCAGGAACAGACTAGAAACAGCTACAACATAACGCTCGACACAACGCCGCCACAGACAATACAGGGCACAATGATCCCACCATGCCAGAATGAGGGAGAGAGGTATATATGCAAAGAGCACCAGGAGACACAAGTGAGGCTAATTGCAGAGACAATTGGTGGTGTAGGTGCGTTGTCCGGGTGTTGCACATTTTCTGAGCAGACGGATTGACAGTATGTTAATGTATATAATTATGTGAGGTAATTTTACACAATTTTTGCATACTTCCTTACTGTTATGTCTGGAATTACCAAAGAGGAAATTCCAGACTTTTGTTTCTGTGGAGATATAATCAGTTTTAACCCTTGTGCGGTCCTTCGCATTTTTGTACACACCGTTTGTCCTTGAAATGATTTTCATCTTGTCCCAGAATATGAGTATTAATGAATATGAGGAAAAATTGGCACAAGTCATGCAGTACAGGAAATAGCACACACACACACAGACACAAAGGTGTTACACATCGGCATATTTTGAGTGACAAACAAAACATGTTATAAGATAACCGTAATCTTCAAATTTAGAATTATATTTAAAAAAGAACCAACTAAAATAAAAAATACATTTTAATTAAATACTCATTATTTATTTTCCAAAGTCACGGGGAGCCACAACAGAGGGGTGAAAGAGCTACATGCGGCTCTGGAGCCGCGGGTTGCCGACCCCTGGACTATACCTATAACCTTAACCTGTAACTATACCAACAAAATATTGATATGCACAGATGATTGCAGTTAAAAAGTGTTCTGAATAAATTCAACTTTAACTAACTGTGCCTAACATTAAGCTTAGTGACATATCAAGAAGTAGAGAACTAAATCCTGGCAGAGTACAAAGTCCAAATGCTAATTAAAGAGAGCATATTCTACCTGCTAACCCCAAAACATAAATAACCAAAAGAAAAAAAGTTTATACAAGAGTTTATATAGTGTATACCCGGAGCAGTTAAGGTGAAGAAATAAAAATTAAAAATTACTATTGTTTACTGCTATCTAGCGGTCAGAGCTGAGAATTACAATTCCATTAACATTTCGGCATCATTATGACAACTACATTCTAAAAGTGGTGAAAGGTTTGCTGTGAGGCAATCGTTGAAGAAAGATAATACGTTTATTTGAAATCAGATGCCTGCCTGGGCCACGAGACATGTAGTGCATGCGTTTAATTTGCCTAGAAATATAGTGGGTCAGTGAAAACTGAAATTTTGTAAACACTAAGAGTACAGAAACACCATCATTGGAAATAAATAATGTTCAAACAATTTTTTTATTTTCTTATCTTTAAATTATATTAAACAGGTTAATGCGTTTTTTGTAATTCTTTCAGAATTAATCTATTTGATCATTAAGTCATTTAAAGAGAACATTAAAAGTTTGAAACACAAATAATAAATTAGTCTAGAGCAGGCATTTCAAACTTGTGACCTTGGCATTTTTATTATTATTATTTTTTTTAGATCATTAACAACATTCTCATTCACTCTCTGCTCATTATACTTTTTTGTCAGTCATGACTCAGCTTCAGGCTCATCAGAGATTTCTGGCCATTGCTGCCTCACTGTCTGTCTGCTGATGTCAAGTGTGTTTTCAGCCAATTTTAAAAATGTCTTTCAGGGATGCAACCATCAAATCGCTTGTTGTTATTCATACAGTGGTAAAATCACAGCTGCTCCACTGGTGTGACATAAATATAAACAACAGCAATAAGAACGCTACAGAAGAATGGCAGCCTAATCTTTGCCTGAAGATTTACAAAGCATTAGCCTCTCATGTTGGAGTGATCATTGTAACAATACTGCTCTGATAGAGAGGCTTATAAATGAGAAAAAAATCTTAACACAGAGAAGACAAACAACAACCACAACAACAACACAGAAATAACATCCCAAAGACGCTGCCTTGTTGTGCAGCCTGAAACACACACCTTTGTGCTGGTGGCACATGCACCATAAGCTTCTTCCTGCCATTACCTCCAAGAACCCCCAGGAACCGCAGGGCAACATTTGGTAATGCTCTTACAAAGACTGATCTTGGTGTGCACTGTGACAAAGGTCACTGGGCAGCGAGCGACGACCTTCTTTAATCAAACAAGCAGCAACAAAGAAGGCTTAGAGAGAGAGAGAGAGAGAGAGAGAGAGAGAGAGAGAGTGGGGCTGAGGGTAACAAAGGTAGCAGAGGAAGAAAGACCAATGTGCATATTCAAACCTATTCAAAACCTACTCCAGCGCTTAACCCAAGAAGCGCCTCTCAGATTCAAATATCATCAAACCCATAAACTGAACCTAATGTTGGTTGTAAGCGTTGCTCTTAAAAATTGCACGTGGTGAACATAAACCATGAGGCACAACGTGCTAATGACTGTTGAATCAATGATTTAACGTGTACATACAGGTTAAAAGAGGTTCTTTGTTTAATAAAAAGACTTTTTATGAACAAGAACGTCCATTCATAGAGAGATGAGTCACTCTAAAAGTGCCTACATCTACAGTTTATTTACAGTTTATGTTTTCAGTTTATTCAGGGTTTGTCTTTATGGCACTGCTGTAGAAAGATGACCCCTACTGGTTGGATATCATTTAGTTGGACAACATCAAATGTAATCATGACTAATTGTGATTGTAATTAATCATGATTGCTTGAGATAAAGCAACATACACAAGTACCACAAAATCCATTTGTCTTTGGATTTGCGTAAACAGAAAGACAAAGACAGCAGGTACCAGCGGCAGGAACCACAACTATGTGAAAACATTTTTTTAAATATCACTTTTTTGTACTGTGCATAAAAATGTATAAAGTCCAGGTTGTTATTTTAATAAGATGTGTTTCCAAATGGACCCCAAAAAAGTAGCAGCAGCACCAGCAAAAGCACCTTTACTCTCTGGACATTTTCCAATTAGGCTGTGGCTTTGGAGGAGATCAAAGCTTAGATAATCCTATGGCTGGAATTGCATGACCACAAGTATATGGAGCTAGAAATGAGGGTGAAGCAATGGGGAGTCCATCTGAGGAATGAGCATGTCATTGTAAATTACAGAGAAGAGAGGGAAGTGTAGAGGAGGGAAAAAAAAAAGATAAGTAGGAGGAGGAAAGTAAAGGTGATACAAAGTGAAGCTGGGTGCCATACAGAGAAGGACATGAAAGAAGGGAGGGAGGGAGGAGGAAGAAGACGGGAAAGGGTCTGTGGTTGGTGCTGCTGTACGTGACGTCAGCGGCTTGTTGGATTGAGGTGCCGCGTCCTGCTGATTTTAATCCTAACTCATTAACAGAGCGGGAGAGAGAGAGGGTGAGAGAGAGAGAGAGAGTGAGAGCAAATGCCGGCACAAGGCCTCCGGGGGAAAAAGTGACAAGAGAAGGGATAAAACAACAGCAATTATCAATTTATCAAGACAGAAAAGTGGAGTTCAATTACAACAAAAGACTCTGTATTTTTCTTCCTGGCTCCCATGCCTCATAACCTTCCACCCTCTCTGTCCTAATTTGCTGTTTGTGAAGTCTTGACGCGCGGCCTGGTCGATCATGCCCACCAACGGAATCAACAGGACCCTGAAGCTGCAGTTTGGCCTAATCAACTATGAGAACCGCTACCTCACTGCTGAGGCCTTTGGTTTCAAGGTGAATGCCTCAGGCACCAGCATGAAGAAGAAACAGGTCTGGACTTTGGAAAAGGACGAACAGGATGCCCAGGTGGTGTTTCTCCGCAGCCACCTGGGGCGCTACCTGGCCTCGGACAAAGACGGTAAAATCTCCTGTGATGCAGAAAAACCTGACCCAGACTGTCGTTTCCTGATCATGTCCCAGTCTGATGGCCGCTGGGCATTGCAATCAGAGCCATATCTGCGTTACTTTGGAGGTTCTGCAGACTACCTGTCCTGCTTCGCCCAGGTCATCGGGGAACAAGAGCTGTGGGCAGTGCATTTGGCCTTACACCCACAGGCTAGTCTGCTCAGCGTGGCACGCAAGCGCTATGCCCATCTATCTGCATCTGATGGAGAAATATCTGTCGACAGCAACATTCCCTGGGGAGTGGACTCTCTGGTCACCCTGGTGTATACAGATGGAAAGTACAGCCTTAAGACCTGTGATGGCCGTTTTCTCAGGAATGATGGTAAACTGGTGAAGGAGGACGGCAACAATACCAGCTTCACTCTGGAGCTCAAATCAGGCAAGCTGGCCTTTAAAGACTGTGATGGGAAATACTTAACCCCTATAGGCCCAACAGGCACACTGCGCTCTGGTCGATGCCCGAAACCAGGAAAAGATGAGCTGTTTGATCTTGAAGAGAGTCATCCACAAGTAGTCTTTCAAGCTGCCAATAACAGATTTGTCTCAGTGAAGCAAGGTAACTAGTCTCTAATGGCACTTTCACTATTATTATTATTATTACTATTATTATTAGTAGTAATAATAGTAAAATAAATGTATATTTACAATGTGGTAACGAGTGAAAATCAAATGAAATCAATGAGGCTTTATAATACAAAAAAAGCACTTTATAACGTGGAGGAAATGAATTACAAGTTCAAACATTTAGGTTTCTAGCAAGAAATCTGTTTACGTTGCATAGATTTTGTATATATTCATATTTTGAGCATGTGAGGAGAGTATAGAGTCTATAGATTGCTTAGTATGGTAACAACCAAACTATGATTCCAATCAACAATTTGTCAGATTTTTATTTTCCTACCTGTTGACAAAGAGTAAGACGATAATATTGGCCTCTTCAGTGATGCCCGGGTGCAGTAATGGGAATAAGAAACTTTCACTTCAGGCCTATTGTCACGCTGAAAATTTTAGCCTTGCTCTTATATTTTCTTATATACACCACAGCATTTAGTTAGACTGGCACAGCACTCAGAGGTAATCTTACAGGGTTATTTCACTATGTTTATATCGACTTTATTCTTAGATCTCTGGGTTTGCGTTTCAATTTTTTTTTACCAGTTTTTGCAGACACATAAAAAGCAGTGCTACTTTATTGCCATTTGAAAAGTGTAGGCCAGAGAGCACATGGTTACAGTCTGACGGCAGAAGCCTGTTTTTCCTGTAGCGGTTCAACAGCCACACAGTGCATGTAACTGAGCTAATGGGCTTTGTCACTTGAACTGTGTCCATTGAAGACTAAGGATTTGAACAAATGACATCAGGACAGAGCTTTATCTCACGGCTGACAGCTACACTGTAAATGAAATTTAAACCTAGCAGCCTCTTGCTTTTTTTTTACTGTCTGCCATTGGCAGAATTTCTTTAAAATATGAGAAAGTGCCGGAATGAGGTAAGAGCAAAAAATAGCCACAGCCAGGATGAGCCAGACAGATCAGTTACAAGGTTTCTTCACAGCCTGTCTCTGATCTCCTCTGTATAATTATTCAAGGAAATGAACAGTGAGAGTCTGAAATCGTTGTCCTGAAACTTACACTGGCCGTTTAATACTGTAAATACAATGAATCTTTATATAAAGGTCATTACACTGCAGTCTTTTTTTTTTATAGAAATAAACCTTAAAAAATGTACTTAAGAAAATAACTTTAACAAAGCAGTGTTTTATTCCTCCACCTGTACTCTTTAGCCTTGTAAAAGTGTCACATTTTATAAGGAATACGGCCCTGAAAGAGGCTTAGTGTGGCCCCTGCGGTGCAGATTTGTATTTCTCCACTGCAGGCATTACAGCCAGCGAATGAAGGGAGGAGGCACGGGCGACAGTGGGGATTAGGGTTTGTAACAGGCTTATGAGAGAGGTTGAAGGATATTTCTGTGGCATCTAATTTGAGCGACAGCAAAACACAACTCAGATCTGTGTCTGTGTTTTCTCCTCCACCTGGAAGCCACCAGAGCAGGCACAGTTAACACAGGCAGCTCGAAGAAAACAACCTTAGATCGGCTGCAACAACAGAGCAATGAGTCACTGGGCATATTTAATGATTTTAGCCTCGAAAGGATTAAACTTTACTCATGTTCTGTGGGCTCATCACAAACACATAATTACACGGAATAAAAAATAATAAACCTGTCAGAACACACGCAGTTTTGCTCTTAATCAAATACTAAATGCTCTCTCCTTTCTTAATTTCCTTTATGTCTAATGTGACTGGTGACTAAACGTACCAATTCACTAGTCAGAAACAGAACCAGCAGGTGGCAGCTTTTCCACTCCAAGCAAGCAGAAATTCCAATACAGTCAAAGAAGGTGAAGCTAGGCAGAGGGTGTTAGCAGTGTAAGCTTTGTTAGCATTGGGTAGACTCAATATTGCCCAGGAAGTGACACAAAGTCCACACCAATGACAAAGACATTGCCTCTGGGCCAAAGCGCCCATTTATTTTAATTATTATTTATTCTATTTTTTTTAAACGTTATTCAAATAGAATTTTCACTGAATGGATCAAAGATGTGACTCATATAAAGCTTTAAATAAGTGGTGAAAAGCTACGGTAATTTCCTCTGGAAGTGTGCTGTAGCTGCTAACAGATCTGGGAGCAAAACATTGGCCTGGCTACTGCATGTGTCTGCTCATCAGACAATCTCTTTGGTCTGTGTCCCACAGCCCATGTGGATGTCTTATTTCTGTTGAAAAAGTCAATGAACACAAATGTATTCCGTTTTGTTTAAAAAATATTTATAGAAAATTATAATGTTGCACAATCGTGGAGCAATAGTTCCAGATGTCAAAACTCATCCTAGCTCTAGGCTAACCTTCAGTATGTGACTGTGGGAGACACCGGAGACATGTGTCCTTTTCTAATTTTTGACTCACTCTTCTAAGTACAGCTGCAAATGCAGAGGTACGCTCAATAAGATAAATAAATAATGTACGAACGACAGTAGGAAAGATGTAATTACAGTTGGATTACAATTGTGCACAAGTCAGTTCTCATCATACCCAGGAGTGTAAGTGACATTTGAAGGGCAATAATTAGCGGCACTATTGTATAAGTGACATTTCTGAAGCAAAGGCAAACCAATGTAATAACTGTCTTTTCTTCTCTAATCACCAGGAGTCAGTATTTCAGCCAATCAGGATGCAGAGACAGACTTGGAAACGTTCCAAATGGAGATTGACAAGAAGAGTAAGAAAGCCATGTTCCGAACCAACGGAGGATCGTACTGGACTCTGGTCACCCACGGAGAGATCCAATCCACTGCCACAGAAATGTTAGGAGACTTTTTCTCTGGCTCTGAAATTTTTCCTTCAGAGGCTTTGACGCACACTTTAATCGAAATCCCTGCCTTGTATTCTTTAGAGAGATCAACACAATGTTTGACATTGAGTGGCGAGGACACAGAGTCGCACTCAAGGCAAGTAATGGAAAGTATGTGTGTACAAAGAAGAATGGGCAGCTCTCAGCTGTGAGTGATACTGTGGGTAAGTATGTTGACCAGTTTCCTTTGACCACATATTTCTCACGAAAGTCATATGGTGGGAGAGTGGTTGTTGCTCTGTCCCACAGTAAGAACATTACTGATTCTATCCTTACTGTAACTGATGACTTTTCTTTATAAAATCTGCATGTCCTCCCCAAATACATGTATGTCTGGGGCGGGGGGATAAATCACAGTCAATAAAAATTCCAAAAAAATCAACATGACACAAAATAGTATTCCTGCAAATGCACCAAATCCGGCACCACATGTGAACCCTGCAAGTGTAGCAGTTGGGCTGAATGAGCTGATTTACAGACGTGTTTTCACTGCAGTACAAATTAACCATGTTGCATCTCATCACAGGGGATGATGAATTATTCCTGATGAAACTCATCAACCGCCCCATGCTAATACTTCAGGGAGAAAACGGGTTTGTGTGCCACCACAGGAACTCCAACACTCTTGATGCGAATCGATCGGTCTACGACATTTTCTCACTGATCTTCAACAATGGAGCCTACCATGTAAAAAGTCAGTTTTCATGTCTGTACCACCAATATCTCCACCACATACTGTCTCTGCGACCAGACTGTGTTTACTCACACTGAACATTTTTCTGCAGGTGGAAATGAAAAGTTCTGGCATGTCTCCAGCAGTGGCCTTGTGTGCTCAGATGGAGAAAAGCCGGAGGAGTTTTTTCTCGAGTTCCTGGAACATGGACGGGTAGCCATTAAAGGTTCCAATGGTCAATACCTTCGCGGGGACAAGGGAGGTACACTAATGTGTGATGCTACATCTGTTGATACATCTTCTCTCTGGGAGTATTGAGCTGCTGTTCTGTCCTCAAAGAAGACTGAAGATGCTGGTAAAAATATAAATGGACCGACATTTCCCAGAGTCCCAGTTCTTTTCTAACGGTAAAAAATGAATTCATTCGAGCAGTGGTACTCAAACCTTTTACACCACCTTCCTCCTCTTAAAATAGTTGGCTGTGCCTGTACCACCACTCTGGTCAACATAAAACTACAGTACAGATCTACACAGTTCACTGTACACAATATGAGCCAACAGTTGGAGTCTGGTTACAGGCTAATACATCTATGAATATTGCCTTTCTACCACCTTTTAAACCAACTTTTTTTTTTTTTACTGAAAAAGGGTGGAACTATTTTCTATATATATATAAAAAATCAACTCAGTCTCCACATTAAAAAAAGAACAGATACTTACTTGCCATTTGTTGTGATCTAGGATTTAGACACATTTGGTTAACATAGCCACTGGTTATTGTATTAGATGCATTGGTATCTGTTGTCTGTGTCAGCTTTGTGACTTTCTAATCTTATTTAGAGTAAAACAGTAGATAAAGTACAATACGATCAATCAGGCCACTATAAATAATTCTTGGCACTGGCTTCAATAGCATCATGCATTGTTGTCTATTTAACAAAAGTGGAAATATTTTCTATTAAGAAAAACAAAAATAATATTAACAAGAGCACTCATAGGATTTAAAAAGAAAAAAAAGACAAAACTTGATTTGCCACAAGTCACTATTCTGTTTCTATGGAGTTACGTTTTAACATTTTTGGTCATTGTCTGGATATTCAATCCATTTCATATACTGTATGCGATCTACAATTTAGACACGTTAACCTAGTCACTGTGACAGTATGAATTAGTTGTACTGGTCAGCAACTTCAGAATGAGAGACAAAGCATGAAACAATAAGACTTTATAACTTGTTGTTGTTGTATTTTGTTTCTTTTCTTTTTTTAAAACTTTTTTTGTACTTCCTTATGGCAAAAATAAATGAGCCGGGCCAAGATACTGCTGAGTGTTTATGAACAAAGCAGAACATTTTTGGCTATAAATAAAAGTACCGAATATTTACAAACTCAAAGGGAATTAGTCACAGAGAATGGCTCGTAATTTACTCTTCACTAGGCTGGAAAATTGATTTGGCTCCACAAAAAGAAACAAGAACAACGCAGACATCAGAGAAAACACAATCAACAAAGGAGACGGCAACGGCAACCTGAACAACCTGGGAGTTAATTGAAGTCCCTTGAATCCAGTTCCATAACTTAACACTTTAATTGCACTGGGGATTTTTGTAGATTATTATGTTGCTGTTTGTGAGCCGAACCCAACTGGTTCTGTTTGCTGGTACAGCTCATGGTTAGGGTATTAAAAAGGGATGGACTGTTTAGTAAACGACTACTAATATGCTGCACCTGCTTCTTCCTTTTTCTTCTACCCTTTTAAAAATCCACTCATGTTAATTAAAGGTCAGCGTGGCTTCCTAAACCTGGTTTTGTCGGCCTGTTTTTAACAGTCAAATTTCACTTCACGTTTCCAAGTTCTGCAATTAAACGTTTCTTCTATCCATCCCATTAGTCTGACAGGGTAATAAACCGCAGGGAATATTGAAACAAAAATGAAACAGGATCAACAGAGTCTTGCATGTGAACGCGTGCATTTTAGATTGTAGCTCTCAGAAATAATCGGCTCTCAGAAATATATCTCAGGTAAATATCGGTGCAGCGCTACCAGTTTTTGTACTGGATCTTGGTACAAAAAAGGTGGTTACAACATTTTAAAAACATTATTATTATTATTATTATTTCAAAAAATGCAGAAAGGCAACATTTCAGACATTAAATTGATGGAAAATTTCAATAAATTGACATTATAACAAACAAGGCTGCAGTATATTTGACAGTAAATGTCAGTGCAGTATTTTTTGGGTTGTTTCTTCATCATTCTTCTACCAACATGACCATCAGTTTTGGAGACTGGTTGCTCGGTAGATGTACAGCAGGTCACAGTGCCACTGCCTCCTCAACAACTGGACTCACCAATGAAACACCAACACTATTTTCTTTTCCCTATAAATGAATGGTAAATCTAATGAACCAAATGAAAAATGACTCCCCTGACAGCTACATCACCCAAGTATAAAGTATTTTACATTCAAAGACGAGCTCACCTTGACAGCTTTACTGCATAAATAACAAGCACGGAGGACTCTGATCACAGTGCATCATTTCCCCCTTAGCTACACTGGGGGGCAGTGTGTCCCCTCTTGCAGCAATAGTCGATGACAGGTGCTGTGAAAATAGCATTCCCTGCTGTAATAAGCACGGCACAAAAACACCTCTGAGCAATTTGCGAAACTCAGAGCAACTGTCTGAAATCTGCTGACGCTTTCAGCAACTGACATTTTTGGTTAAGAGAGATATATTAAAAAAACAGGTAACACAAAAGACCTCCATGTTTCGTTGTTTTAAGTAACATGATCTGATTCTCAGGGAGAAATGTTATTGGTTTTTTTTTAATCCAATGTTGTTTAGCCAAAAGTCAAAGCTTTGTTGCATTCAAAGTCAAAGCTTTGTAGGATTTTTTTTTTAATATTCTGGTTCCTGCTATACTTCATATTTTCGTCTTGTTTATTTTATGCATTTGCTACTTTGCTTTCTATTTCTGCGCTCTAGCTAAAGGTCTGCATGTGTCTGTGGTTTGCATGCATTCTCGGCTGGAACTTTTTCATTTGCAACCAAAAGAGATTTCCTGGACAGTGATACATGGTTATTGTGCTGCCCTGTCAGGACATGCATTTTAGGAATCTCTGATGGGATCCACGGAGGACGACTTATCTCAACACAAATCCAATTCGGTTCTTTTGTAGAGTAATAGCCACAGCTTCTGATCAGCCAGAGACAGAGTCCAGATAATTTTAACTTTCTCTTTGCTGCAGCTGCCTACTTTACTCAGCCAAGAATTACAACAAACTGCACACACGGTAAATACAAGGTAGAAGCTGATATTGACAAATATCATACTATAAACAAATCAATCTTGTCTGGTTGTGTGACTGCTGAACTATTTGGGGTGTTTATCAGGCATAGATTGAAATGAGATTTGGTTAAAAAAAATCCAATGAAAACCAGCTTGTGACCTCAAAGCATTTAATTCTGCGTTCTTCGAGAGATGATGAAAAAAGTGTTAAAGCACGGTCAAGGGCAGTTGACGTTGTTTAATTCCCTTTCTTTCAAATCATGCCCGAGGACATTTTTTGTTCAACTGAAGCTGGGACCATAGGTCAGGAAAAGGAAACATTTTCAAATACCAGCCCAAAATTGTTCTAGAAGAAAGATGAAGAAAATAAGCAAATATTAAATAAAGGCTATAAAAAGGTTTCTGAGTTGTGGTAATTAAAGCCCAGATCTGAATTCAGTTTGAAAATCTTGACTAAAAAATGTAACTCATTTCCAATTCTTCTGCAAGAAAGATAAACTAAAAAAAAAAAAAAAAAAAAAATTCAGGATGTGCTGTTTTGGACCCAAAAAGACTGAATGCTTTAATAAAATCCAATGAATGCTTTGAAAAAACATTGGTTCACTTTGAGTTTATGCATTACCAGACACAGAATTTGAGTTTTTATTATTTTACACCCTCAATAAGATAAACTTTTGGAAAAAAAATGGTAAAAAATATGGGATGAAATATTTTAAAATCCTTCATTTGCAATGAGAGACACATGATTGTTGATGCTTGATGGTTTGTAACTCTGTATGGAATTGACATGCAGTGAAGAACATGGCAACTAAAAGAGAGGTTATAAAATAGAGTGTTGGTGGGTTGATGGACTGTTGAACTGTCCAGGGAGAACCTCCCCCTCACCTGCATGAATAGAAAATAGAAATATGAATTTACAGCTGTCAACGGATCAGAACATAGGTTGACGTGTTGCTTTTATCTTTTATCTGCAGGTGAACAATTTGGGAAAAATATTTCCTGAATAAAGACTTCCTTGACTCCAGAATGCTAAATCAAACACACAACATAATTATTTAGCATAATGAATACAAACAACATCTTTGGGCCATTACTTTTCATTAGTATTCAGAGAGGACCGATTTCCTGCCTCACACATCAAACCCTACATCAGCCATACGGCTGTCAAGAGCGCAAGTGAAATGTGCACATGGTAATTTGTAAGAGACTCAGATCACTTTCATCCCTAAAGCTGTGCACAAGACAAAGTCGGCTTATTATGGCCATTTGTAAGAAAATTCACTATTTTTCTCACAGCATAGACAAAAGCAGAGTCACCGATTATCATAGTCAGGCAGACAAAGGCACTCAGGGGAGAGGGAGCTGAAGTGTTGGCTGCTGAGGCTGTTTCCACACAGATAAAACCTGACAGCACAGAATCACTCCTGCCAACGGCGAAACTCACGGTGAGAGACACAGGATTTGTTCAGACCTGAGATCACAATCACTCTGAGGAATCCAGATAACAGGTGGGGTGGTGGAGAAGCAGCGGCTCCTCAGCCTATCACAGTGCCGTCAGAGGCCAAATGAAGACACATGTTGTTTATGACTAACAGGAGAACTTTTATTTCCAGAAGACGACGTTTGAGTGAGATCACATACAAGAAAGACCTCGCCTTGGTGACCTCTCCTGCAATGGCGCCATGCCGCCCCTAGAGAGTGCACTCTCTACTTTGAGTACCTCTGCCTCAGCACTCCGCCTCATAACTGTTTACAGTAGTAATAAAATAATATATTACAAATAATAATATAGCTATTGTTGCTCATCAATAATCACGTCATTGTCTGAACCTCAACATCTCTGTCACAGCTTGGCTTCAACAACAACCGTGCACTTAAGGCGACATTTCATTCAAATTGAAAGGTTTGCAAATGCACAGGTGTGGTGAAGATGTGAGCCCACCACCTGTCAGACACTGCCATCAGAAACCACATGTATGTTGGAAGGGTATTGTGTGCAATCTCTAGATCTGAAGGTCCATGTTTTTCACACAGTGTGTTTGATCAAGACACTGCAGTGGAGACAAGAATCCAGTCAGAGCAAACACTGCTCTAGTTCACCAGAACTGTAGCACAGATGAAAAAACACAATTAGAGCTTCTATTAAGATATGAGTCTCAGAGTCTCTTGTCTGTCATTACTAAGAAACATCAGTCTTTGCCTCTGAGCCTCCAGGCTCTGTTGGCTTCATTTTATACTTTTCTTAAATTAGTGCAAAAGAAATTGGTTGTACTTGTTACCCATTTTGAAATAATTATTTCAATATGACATCCAATAACCCTTAGATGTGTAATATTTGGCAGATGGAATTTCTCCAGGTTTAGTTTTCGTCCATGAGGGCGACTGGTAGGAACAGGTGTCCAAGCTGTGACCCAGTTTCAGAATAAAAAGTTTTAACCTTCAGTCAGGGTGTGATGATGATGTGACAGGCATGATGATGATAATGATGAAGATACTGACGATGATGATGATGATGATGACGATGATGATGATGATGATGATGATGATGATGATGATGATGATGATGATGATGATGTGAATTGATGTGGATGTTGGCCTGGTCTGTGTCTGGCAGTGATGGATATATGCCCTAAATTTGAGACCCCTCATCGAAAGCTCCGAAGTTTACCGCACTTTCAGGTGCAGGAAATAAAAACAACACACATTGCCTTACTTGCTTTTCACCACTAATGAACACAGCTGAGAGAGCTGAGGTAACAACACAATTAGGAAAGTACAGGTAGTGCTCTCTCTCTCTCTCTCTCTCTATATATATATATATATCTATATATATACTGTATATGTATATATATATATATATCTATATATATACTGTATATGTATATATATATATATATACATATATATACATATACAGTATATATATAGATATATATGTATATGTATATATATGTATATATATAGCTCAGCCATGGTCCCAGGAGGATAAATGGGGGGCAGCTACTCTTGGGAAGTCAGTGGGTGTGGCTGGTTATTTTACAAGAATGCCACCCTTTCTAATTTTGAGGTCAATAAATACGTGCTGAAGGGTCTGAGCAGCAACCGCTGTTGAAAAAAGAGGCCAATTAAATTATATGTAAATAGTCAAGTTATCCCATCACAGTGACCGGATGTGAGATGCGTCGAACAGAAATATGAACGACCTGAACAAATGTTTCCGTTCGGATACTTATTTTGAAATCCCAGACCAGAAATGCATACATGTTATTATCGCTAGCTGAGCAGCTTGTATAAATCCGGGAGCGCTTCACAACTGCTGCCTGTCACTATTAACTATTATTGTCTGATAAAGTGGCCCAGAAAAAACAATGCGCCTGATGTTTCTTTCCATCCCTAAAATTAACACAATGTACCGACTGTGAATTTTATTCTATTTTTTTCCCTCTAAAGTATGTGTTATTTGTCATAACCCGCTCAGAGGAGAGACACTTGACAGAGGAAGGACGCAACTGGACCGCTTTTACGCATCGCACATCTTGGAGCGTCGTTGGAGACAGCGCACTAACACACACATCACACATCACACTCCAGTTGAGACAAGCCTGGCTGCGCTCAGCGTGTGTGTGCACACACTTCTATGATGAGGTACAGTTCGGTGGTTCTGTCTGCTGGATTCACAGGTTTGCTCAGTTTCAGCCTCCTCGCGGTGGCCATCGGGACTGATTATTGGTACATCATCGATGTCAATAAGCCCAACTACACGGCTCCAGACGACCTGAGTATACGTTCTGGACTCTGGAGGATTTATGAAGGTATGTGTCCTTAGTAAAAATATTATCCTTCTCTTGTATTCAGACTGAGTGCATCCTTATTTTCACTGAATAACTTTTACCTCACCTTGGCTTGGATAATTAAGCCCTGTGGATTTAACGCCGCCGTGCGTAAAATGCGAATCTCTTATTTAATGTAATCAGGAACTATATGAATTAGTAATTAAATACATATGGAATAAAAACAAAGGTTGTTGAAAAGGACAAAATTATCAATGAGAATCAGTCATATTTTTTTTACATTGGATTCCTGTAGAAATCTCTACAGAAAAAAAAAATCTCTCCGTGGCCTGTGGCTGTGCTGCAATTATACTCCCACCATTTACATTTTTGGTAACAGCAGCCTGTGGAGTTGGACATGTTGGCCCCTGCAGCCATGAGCCGGCCCCCATACTCCTTTTTACCCACAATGTTTTTACTTTATTATTTGCGTTTACATGTTCACCTCCAATTCCCTGCTCCTTTGAACATTTCTATGACAGAGAAAGGAACCATTTTTTGAATCTCCTTGAGTGCAGTGTTCTGCTGTAAGAGCAGGGAATGAAGACTGTAACTGTGGCTAGTCTTCTCCAACTGAGTATTTGTAAGTATGTGTAATAATGGGGATAGAAAATGCAATTCACCTTGGTATCCAGGACCAGCTCTCTACAGTGCTGCAGCTGTGCCCATGTGTCGTGTGTAACCTTTACTCTTGACATTTTCAGGAGCAAAGCGGAGTTCTGTCATCCCATTCTTCTCCGCAAACATGTCCAGTCTGACGGAGGTGGAGAAGCAACTGCTTGGTGAGTGGTTTTTTCTGTCGTATACAGTACAGTAACAAAGCGAAACGTTCTACAAGAGATGTTAGAATTTCAAAAGGTGACATGTTTACACCCATCTCCCTGGTTACTCCGACAGATTTAAAACAGTTACGGAAAATGTAAAATAAAAATGTGTTAAAATTAATTAAGCTTTTCAACGGTTTGTCTTAATTGCATAGTTAGACCAATTGTATAAAGTGTTTATTCTACACTTGGAGCAAAGGCAAAATGAACAAATGAAAATTGATAACTATTATGTGGATAGATAGATAGATAGATAGATAGATAGATAGATAGATAGATAGATAGATAGACAGATAGATAGATAGATAGATGGTCAGCTCAGCACTTCTCTAAGATTGCATCCTGCTCTGATCAAGTGAACCTCTTCTCTCCTTTGTGTATACTAACGTAGTTTTTTTTTTCAAGTAACTGTCTTGTGTCTGTCAGAGGTACTGTATGTTTGAATTACGTGTTATTTCCGTTACCTTCAACCTGTGGTCTGCTCTGGTTGTTCATTTATTACTTTATGTCCTGCAGCGTATGAAAAAATAATTGCACGTGGCTCAGTTGAAATGTAGTATCGCATAAACGCTTGCTGCGTCAACCAGCACCTTATCAAGATTATGAAATAAGGATACAACCTGACACGTTGTTGCACGAGGCAAGGCATCCACATGCATCAGCCTGTGTTTGTGTGGAACAACAAGGTCAGAGTGGTACAAAAAGACTTGCAGCTGATTGAGCGGAGAGAAAGGGTCTCACATCTATACTGGGGTCACAGCTCACAGCTCAGCACCGGCTTTTGCTTTTAAAAAACATCAGGATTAGCCGGTCGGCTACAAAAAGACAATTAAACTATTGATTGGCCCTCAAGTGTTCCAGGCCTGATTTGATCTTAAGGATGTGATTAGGCACATGTGATGTCATCAAGTAACACCATACAGCTCCCACTGATGCCTTTATCGTTGTCTCGCAGGAGATCCTCAGAGACTTGATTCTCCGTCTCATCAGGAGCTGACCAGACAGCGTGACACACAAAACACACATGCGGGAGAGCAACACACTGCTGAGTCACTTATTGTGCTTCCCCACTGGAATGAGACCATGTCTGACTTTGACTAGCTTTACTACGTCCGCAGGAACGGTTTCCCCGCTCTATTTGGTGATACGTTAAGAGAATTGTTCAGAAATCGGGTAAATCTGTATCAACTTCCAATCTCTGGTTTTAATTAGATAGTTCGCATGGGAACCATTTGGGGGCGGAGCCGTCAAATACGCCGCCACATAGCGATATACGCAGAAGACCCCTTCATTAACATTCATTTGTAGTACGTCATACATTGGATTGCGTCACATTTGCTGTCTCTCATTTGTGTTGTTTAATTTCTGCTCTTCATTATGGCTCCCAAGCACCAGTCAAAGTCTTTTGGTGTTACATCTGCTAGATTACTGTTACCACTGTGTCATCATGAGGTGAGTGACGTGGGTGCTTATGTACAGTATGTGAGATGTGACTAACAGTGAAAAGGAACAGAGGAGTCCATGTACTGAGCCCAGGTGTATTTGTTTGGTGGGTATGTCAAATATCCAGCTTGCAGCAGCAGATTATTATTTCATTTTAAATGAGTGAACCACCGTGTAATTAAACATTACGTCCACTCGTGTGTCCCTCCAGGCTTGCACCATGTGGTGGTCATCTTACTCCCTCTCAGCCTGGTCCTACTGGTGTTTGGATGGATCTTTGGCCTTGTGAGTTCGTTGGCCTGCAGCCCAAAGTTACTGGCCGGGTCAGCTACATATTTTCTCTTCTGCAGTAAGTGACCAAATTCGTGTACTGGTTTTTATGTTTGTTGGTTTGTTTTTCTCTGAGCCTTAAGCATTGGAAAGGACCGTGCATATCGGCTCATTCAAAGTACGGCCTTGGTGTTGTGTATAAATCGTGCACAGAGTAGATGTTACATCATATGCTTTGCTTAAAGCTGTGTGTGTATGTGTTAACTACACCCCAGAAGAACCTTGAATATTTAATGGCAGTCATACTTCAATCCTAACTTCAAACAGCAGAGCAACAAAACTAATCTTTCTGAACATTTGTCCAGCAGCTTTTTTTCTCCTGTGCTGCATCTTGGATTTCAGTGGAAATTACTATTCCAAGCTCCGTTTTGCAGCAATTTGTTAAAAAACTGCCGCAGGGACATTAAAAGCCCCATTTGACTTAACTGTGTGAAATTAGGTAGTAATCTTAATGCTCACACTGTTGGGGTGGATGGAGCATGGTAATTCAGTGGTGGAAATAAGAAAATAAGAAATTCACTGTTGAAAGAGAAGACTGTCGAGATTCTGGCTCTGGTTTGTTACGATTCCCTCTTTTTAAGTCACAACATTTGCTAAATCTGGTTCAAGTCGAACAGTGACCGACGTTCCTTTTTTATTTAGAACTCGCAGAATGGTACTGTTCCCACAGGGACACCCACGCACTGTACATTTCCTTCTTCTTTACACTTTTATGGCTGCTCCGTATGGCTGAACCATCTTCATGCCAATCTTCACATTACATGAATCTTTTATACCAAGATGTCCAACTGTTCATCACTCACTGCCCTGTTTGAATCCTACTCTCTCCAGATAGAAAAACCCATAGTATCTCCACCTCCACTGCATTAATCTTTGCCTTCACTCTTGTCATTTTTAATATAAATAAAACATACAAGCTCGGATGTTTCATCACTGCTGGTCAGTTGAACGCGTTTCAGTTCTAAAACCAAGCAGTGATGATGATCGACTGTTAAAAAATAAGGTATATTCTTCATATACACTGACAAACAGTATTGTAGTATTTCCTTTCTTTTATTACTGGCAATCTTTTTTTCTTTTGATGGTGGTAACAAAGAAGAATGAGTCTGAAAGATAACTTTGATTTGTGACAGATGTGACAAATCATCATGCCACACAATGGAGCCACAGAAGAAAATGACGACTGCTCGTTGCTGTGTGATTATCTTGGTTTTTGGTTTTGGATAACATTCAGATTTACATCAGATAGATGAATTTCAAGACTGCTTGTGATGAACCTGAACTTGATTTCAGACAAAGAGGCTGTTTGTTGATCACTGATTACTAATCATGAGCTGTGGCACAAATTGCTCCGGTCTTTGGAGAGAGCGGTAGTCTTTTTAACAGAGCCAGTGTCAAAACACAGATAGGAAATTAAAAGCAGATGTAACCATCTGGAAAAGGACAAGACCTGCTCCACTGGTTTCAGGAGTAGAATGTAGAAATGGAAATCCATGTGAAAATGAGGCAGTAAAACATTTTCCTCAAAAAATTGATGGTGTCATTTGTTATTTTCAAATGCGTCCATCCAATACAAGCCTGCCAATAATTGACCGTTTGTCCACTGATATTTGCCTCACTGTGTTTTATTGTCCATTTTCCTGCAAATTGGATACGAGTTTCCAAAATAGACATGGTGTTCTGTTAGAGATGAAGACCCTAAAGTAGCGATTAGGAGCCCGAAGACTTCAGGAAAAAGTTTATTGGAGTCCAATAAATCAACAGAACAGCAGAGTCATTTTCCATTCACACAGGACTATTTCCATAACCACTGGAGCCATCCACTCTTTTCTGGGGTTTAATGATACATTGATATGAAAAGCTCCTTCCATCGTGTACTGTATGTATAGTCTATGGCTAAAGGACTTGCACCTGTAGATGCTGATATCAGCGTCATCAATATATCTGATGCTTTTATGAAACTGCCAGTGAATAATTTAAACGCACGTCGGACTAACTGCTGAGTCCACACAGTAAACATGGCAGCTTGTATTTGTGTTAGCTTGCTGCAGGAGACAGACTGGGATACAGAAAAATGTAGAAATACAAATATCGAGGACATGCTCGAACTGGCAGCACAATAATGGAACAATTCCTCTTAACTACTGAAGGTTGTGCTGTTGGGCAGATGTAAAATATACAACACAGATATCCATCAAATAATTCATTTGTTTTCCTCTGACCTCGGAGAACATGAGCCTAAATCAAAGTTCCGGAAAGAACTATTCTGTCAAACCACTCACACAAGTTTTTATTATACACTTGACCATTTCTGCTGACAGTACAGGCCACAGTGGGGAGTTCGATCATTTGTATGGTCTACAACATCTTCAAGTCAGCACACCATAACATAATAAAACACAGCACAGCTCAACACTTGACAAAGATACAATGATCAGCTGTGGGAGACTCGTCCAGACGATCTGACACGTGTAGAAATGATCACATCTGTCTTAGAACTTTTTGACTTTCAGCCACTTCCAATTAAATTTGGAACATTACCATTGTACTGCACTGCTTATGACTGGTGTCACTTCCCCCCTGGGCAGCCTTTTTCTGCTGCTTTTGTTAATAATGTGGCCGTGCATTTATTAAAATACTGCATTTGATTTTCTTTCTGTGAGTGAGAGTAATGAATTCATCTCAGTGTGGGTTTACTGCAGCACAAGCTCGGACCTCACATACAGCTCAGTGCAAATGAGTAAGTGACATTCACAGTGAAACAAAAATCACATTAGTTTTAACTCTGCATTTTATTTTACTGGGAAAACAAAAAAAACCCATTAGGGTCTCCAAACTGAGAGTTCCTACCAGGTTTTCTACTTCTACCACTTGAAATAATTGCTCTTTTTTCTCTGTAAACCCGTCATAATCTTGACGTGTGCCAATTTCTTGTTATTCTCTTCAACTAATGGTCCTTACTGAGTAACTTACTTACTTTGAGATACATTTTCTAATTATTCCCTTTCTAATGTGCTTGATTCGACAGTTAGTGCCTCAGGCAGTTCTAGATCTTGGTGCTCAGACAGAACACATCTGAATGTTGGTTCTTCTCTGCAACCTCAGGTCTCTTCACTCTGTCCGGGCTCCTCGTCTACATCAGGTATTCAAACAGAGCCATGGAGGAGTTCCAGCAGGCCGTGTCCCCAGAGAACCTGGCCTACGTGAACGTGTCCTTCGGCTGGTCCTTTGCCATAGCGTGGTTGTCCTACAGTCTGGAGGTGGCCACAGGACTGCTCCTCATGCTGGCTGCTTCAATAATTCTGCTGAAGGGGCGCTTCGACTCTGGTGTGGCAATCGCTAGGTTGTAGACTGAAAGTTGTTTATTTATATGAATCTATCTATCCATCCATCTATTCATCTATTTTTATCTTTTTCAAACATCTTCAGGAATTGTTTTTGCAGTTTGAAAAGAAGATAATTAGGCTCTTTGATTGCTGTTGCTGCTGAATTGTTTTTGGTGTTTTTTTTTAATTAACTATAATTTGTTTTCAGTTTCCAGCGATTTTATTTATTTTTTTGTATTTTTAAATGAACCAGTTTCTTTGGTAAT